CTTAAACGCAGCTGACAGACACTTCACTCTTGGTATACAGGCTGAAAATAAAACCCTGCCCCAATGAAAAGCTAGCCTATTCGGAGACATATTCCTGAAGTGGAAAGGGCAGAAAGTTATACGCAGGCTGAAATGAGGGTAAGGGAAAATTAAGACCGCTCCAGATTTTTCTCAAGTTATGGGGTTGAACGTATGAATTAATAATAATAACAAAATTAACAAATTCATAATCAAATAAAGGTATAACTAAATGAATAAATTAATGATGAAAAGTGATGAATTAATACATGAGTGCTTCCTAAATATTCTCACTATACTAAGAAATGAACATTTTATACTGTGCAGAGCTTTAAAGTTTATTAAGTATTTTAAGATGAAAGAGCTTATTTAAATGAATTCTAATCACTTAAACTAGACAAGATCCGTTGGTAAAAAAGAACAGGAACTTCATATAAAGCTGAAGTCATCTCCTATCCATCTGAAAGGGTCGTTCTAAGGACTGAATAAGAAAATAGATGAAGAGAGCTTAAACCAGTGCCTGGCGCTAGTAAACTACCTGCGGGGCATAGACTACAGTCAATGACTCGGATTGGCCCGAGGGTTCCCAATGATAACAGCACCTGTGAAATCTTCTGAAACTGGCGGAAAGGAGGGGAGGGGAATTCTTATTTCAGTCACCAGCTGGGAATGCGGACACATCCCCCTACTGAAAACCCTGGGACCCCAATCAGCAGGCCCAGGGTGACTCAGCCTCGGCCTGGGAACACTTCTGTCTCCGATACTGTTTCCTTCTCACATGTGTCTCAGACACTTTTATTCATGTCACTTAAGCCAACTTTGAGGTGAGGATTACGGACTTTCTCCAGAAATGTGCTAGGAAAGATCTCACTAAAGATCACGTATCCGGTAACGAAACACAACTCTGCAGACAGGGAGCCGCCGGGAGGCTTTGCGACGTCGCTCACTGCCTTGGCCGCTTGCCCGCCCCACAACCTTGGGCTGGGTGTCACTCACCAGAAATGGCCAGCTGCTGGATCTTAAACTGCAGGTTAATCGTGGGGTTCTCATCGGGTTTGGAAGCTCCAGCCTGAAGACTCATGGTCCCCTTCAAACTGGGGAGCTTTTGGGGGTTTATTTTTCCTACATCCCAAGACAGCATCTCCAAAGAAACAGGAAAGAAGTTACAGTGGAACCTTCATCTGAGGTGCCGGCCTCCAGGGTGTTTCCCAGCAGAGAATACTATTTGTTACCATCAATTATCTCAGTGTCCTAAACAATGTCCCTTTGCTCCATCTCCCCTTTCCACAAGATATAAGGGCTCCTGCAGAGTTCCTGCTATTTGTAACAACGGCAGCTCACCCTCCCGCTATTCTCCTACCTTGGTGACCGGGTCAAACGTGTGCGTGCCCTGAGACGGCGTGAGGTTCATGCTCAGGACGCCTCTGGGCATCTGGCTGCTGACCGTCACCCCCTCGATGCTCTTCCCCATAGTCTGCTTAGGGCCCACCGTTATTTCAAAGCGGCCAAGAGAACTACTGTCCCGGAAGCTGATGTTATGTTTGACATAAACTGGAATCGCCACCAGGCTGGAAAAGAGAGAGACAAAAAGCCCATGTCATTAATGTACCGGAAAAATGGCCACACTTCCCTTTTTTTGCCCCGCTGGCAGCCTTTCCTCCCTCACCTGCTTCCTTATCTTACAAAGTAAGCACAGAAAAACCCTCTAGACATCTTTAATTATTTTCTTTTTGTAAAGCTAAGATGCTGACTAGTAAGTAAACTAATTCTTCTAATGACTCTATCAACAAAACCAAAGAGCAGACCTGGCAGACTATGAGAAAAAGGCGTGGCAAACAAAAACCACGTTTCTGTGTTTTACTTTGTGACATGTGACCAATAATTATTTGTACTTGGGAGGGTAATATTCATACGCCACGGAGCGTTTACAGTTTCTAGAGAGTGCTTTGACCTGACTTTGATCCTTAAAAAACCCTAAGGGGTAGGGTTGTCATCTGACAGAAGAGGAAACACAGAAGCTACGGGATGATACTAAAGTTGTAACCATCCTTAGCATCTGTGGAGCACTTCCTGTGGCCAGTGCCACTCTAAAGGTTTTCTCTCAATTAGCTCATTTAATCCTCCCTGTAAGTAGGAAGTAGGCACTGCCTCTGTCCTGATGTCATGAATACTGACATCCTCATACGTAACTGAGGTTAACTAACTTGCCATGGTCATACATCATAAGTACTACGGGTGGGGCTTAAGTGTGGGCAGTCTGATTCCAGAGCCTCTGCCCTCAGGCGCTCAGACATTTCCCTACATTATTTATTCCGAATCCCACAGGAAGGCTTCAGTGGCTGTGAGGTCCCACAGCTCTCTTCAGTCTGCATATCTTCTACTATACACCTTCCCCTAAAACCCTCAGACTCCATAGTAAACAGAATGTGCAAGACCAAAAAATCACTGAATTCTATGTTTTTTCATAGCACCATTCATGGCTTTTTTGAGTGGAGGGGATTGAATACAGGTGTTCTCAGATTCCAATCTGAGAAAAGAAAAAGTTCCCGTTTAGGCATATAATAACGACAGTAAAACTTACAGCAGTAAACCTAACGAGCACTTACTTTGTGTGAAGCACTGTTTAGAGTCCCTTATTTAACCCACATAACAAGGTACTTTTATTATTTTCAACTTACTTATTACTTTTATTACTTCAACTTTCTCAGGTAAGAAAACAGACACGGAAAGGATAAGCAACTCACCTGAGGTTACCCAATTAGTTACCTGGAGCCCAGGTAACTCCAGAACCTGAGTTCTTCATCACCATGGATACTGTTTCCAAACACACATAGACATGCACACACACGCACGCACATGCACACTCCACCCTTTGGTTCGATGGCTGCTTACTTCTGTGCACTGACATGGTATGAGAGCAGGCGGAAGTTGCCGTCGGGAGGGATGAAGGAGAGGATGCGCTCGGACTCCCAGCGCTTGAAGCGGACGCAGGGGTGGAAGCTGACATCATCCAGCAGCCTGGGGTTCTGGGTTACAGGCAAGGGAAAGGGAAAGCAACAAGCAGGAATTAAACACCGTGCTTCTTTCGGGAAAGTAACTCAGATGCTGTTCTCACTGAAATACACACACACAGATTCTGTCGTTACTTTTAGAAAATTCAAGCCCAACATGAGCTTTGTGGTTGTCCTTGATCACTTCTTCTGGTTCCATCCCCTTCCCCCCACTCTGTCATTCCAGAAGCATCTAATTTCCCAAAAACTAAATCTCTGGCCCAGGATTTTACCATGAAGGAAAGCGTAAGGTCGGGCATTCCGGTCAGCTTGACGCAGGCATCGATAACGCCCTGGATCTCAGCAGTGACTGTGGACCCTGAGACAGAACAAGATGGAAAGAAGGTAAAACCCTCTCTGTCCCTCCCAACTAACATCCCTCCTCCCTCCCTCCTTCTTTAACCTTCTCTTTTTTTCTCCCATCCTATTTCCTTCCTTCCTTCTTCCTCCCCTCCCCTGTTCTTTCTTCCTTCCTTCTGTCCAACCATCCATCCATCCATCCATCCATCCATCCATCCATCCATCCATCCAACTCATCTACCCAGTCCATCTGTCCTCCTTCTAAACCTTTATCGACTGCATAACAAGCGCAAGACACTAATGAAGCAGTGGGGAAAAAAGATTGGTGAGATAGTTACTAGCCTAAAGGAGTTTTCAATCTAGTGGCAGAATCCAACAGAGCACCGCTATCTTAACCAATGGCTCAGAACACTGAATTCATATCAGAAACTGCTCTCCCTAAGGGCACCAAGGAGCTCTGCCACCAAATGGAATGGATACTTTCGGTCTTCACCCTGCAGGCTCTCCCTGCTGCAGGGCCCTGTGCCCACTTCCTTCTTTCAAGTGTTCCCTTCTCCTAACCGCTCCGATTTCCTGTTTTTCTAGCTCTTCTCTCTCGTGCCTTCTGCAGGTTGCTCCTTCTCTGGACATCCTTTACATGTCGACATCTTATCACAGTTCTGAACTTCTCTTTTCTTGAACCTGACACGGTCTCCTTGGGTTACTTTACCTCCTTCCTAAGGCTTCGATTTCCACTGATGGCCAATTATTTCCTAATCCTTTTTCCAGTTCAGCCTCACTCCTGCCAACGGGACTGCCCCACTTGGACGTGACTGAGGCACTTCAAACTCCACGTGTCAAAAAGTGAGTCCCTTATCTTCATTCCTGGATCTGCAATTTCTCTTTTCCTTAGCTTCATGATAAAACCATCTATCCTGTTGCCTAAGCCAGAAACACGGATGCGTCCTTGATGACTTCCGCCCCCTTGGCGCCCATATCCCACCAGCGCTCCAGCCCCTCTTCCCGTGACTCCTCCGCTCCTCTCCATCCTCACTACCATCACGGAACCTGTACCTTGGCCTGGACTCCACCACAGCCTCCCGCCTCCCTGCCCCGAGACTCCCCCCAACTCCGTGCCACGCTGCACGCAGCAGCCCGTTGGACGGTTCTCAACAACAAACCTTGTCAAATTATTCCCAGCTTAAAACTCTTCAATTGCTCCAAAGGGTCCTCCTTAAAATGGCATACAAGATTCTTCACCCCTAGAGCTTTTTGGGTTTGTTTTTTTTACTTTTTCATTGAGATCAAACTTGGAGTAAAACGCAAACATCTTAAATGTCCAGCCCAATGAATTTTTAAATATGTTCACACCTATGCAGATACCACCCGCGTCAAGATGCGGACCCTCATCGGCAACCCAGCACACTCCTGTTGTCCATCCCAGTTCACCTGAGTCCCTAAAATTCTGACTTTTATCACCTTAGATTAAGTTGCACATGTTTTCAAACGTCATATAAATGTACATGATCTTAGGCATCTGACTCTGCTGCTCAATACCGTGGGGTTCACTCATGCTGTCAGGTGTACCTGCAGTTCTTTTTCTTTACTGTAGAGTATCCCATGGTGTGATCATATCGAAATTTCTTTATCCTTTGTATTACTGATGGACATTTGGGTCCTTTCCAGTTTGGGGCTAATATGAAAAGCTGCTGTGCCTACTTCGTTTTAAAGCCTCATCGCTTACTTTTCTTTTTTTTTTTTAACACCTCTCAATCCAGTCACACTGAGCTACTTTATTTCCCAACAATATTTTACTCATCTTATAGTGTTTGCACTGCTTTGCTCCCAAATCCACGTAGGTCTTACTAACTCCTACTCATTCTCCTGACAAAGCGCTAGTTAGCTTTACAATTTGCCCTGGGTGGGAGGGGACCTCTCTTATGCTCCATCTTTTTCCCTTTCTCTCTCCCTTGCTAGACTTTCAGGAAGCTTCCTGCAGCCATAGACCCTGTCTTAGTCACCATCACATGCCCATGATCTGGCACTCAGGTACAGCAACACTGGTTCTCTGTAAACACTTTCTGGATGACTGAGTTCACTCATGTGAAGAGAACTTTCTCTAAATTTCTAAGCTCCAAGGACTTGTAGTCCCATTAACCTATCCCAATGGATAGAAAAGAAGGTTCTCTGAATTTTAGTGATTACAATGTTAGTTCTGCCATGAGAACTGAGAGTCAAATACTTCCAAAAGGAAATCTGATCAACAGGAGATCAGGTTGTTACCTTTCTTTTTCACTCGAGAGGATAAAACCAGTGAAAGTGTAAGCTCAGCACTGGTCTGCATCATGTTTTTCTTATTGCTTTTCTTTCAGCTTTGTTGAGGTATAATCAACAAATAAAAAGTGTATCTATTTAAGGTGTACGACTTGATGTTTTGATACACATATACCCTGTGAAGTGATCACCACAGTGAAGCTCATTAACATATCTATCAACTCACACAGTTGGGTTTTCTTGGTGGTGAGGGCCCTTAAGCCCTGCACTCTTAGCAAATTTCAAGTAGAGGATACACATGTGAGGTGATGAGGGAAATCCTTTCAGTGTACATGTATATCAAATCACCATAATATACATGCCAAGTATCTTACACTTTTGTCAATTACACCTCAATAACACCGGGAAAAAAAAAAAAAGTACACAACTGTAGTCACTGTGCCATATATTAAATCCCCAGAACTTCTTCATCTTGTGTAAGTGAAACTTTGTACCCTTTCACCCACATCTCCCCACTTCCCTCTCCCCCAAGTCCTTGGTAACCACCCTTCTACTCTCTGCTTCCATGAGGTTGACTACTGCAGATTCCACATATAAGTGAGATCACGCGATATTTGCCTTTCTGTGTCTGGCTTATTTCACTTAGCATCATGTCCTCCAGGTTCATCCATGTTGTCACAAATGGCAGGATTTCCTTCATTTTATGGCTGAATAATATTCCTGCGTGTGAGTCTATCTCACATCTTTATCCATTCATCCATCAACGGACACTTAGCTTGTTTCCATATCTTGCCTATTGTGAATAACGCTGCAATGAACAAGGGGGTGCAGATTATCTCTTTGAGACACTAATTTCACTTCCTTTGGATCTATACCCAGAAGTGGGATTGCTGGATCATAAGGGAGTTTTAATTTTTTGAGGCACCTCCATGCTGTTTCCATAGTGGCTGCACCAACTTACATGCCCCCCCAGCAGTGTACAGGGTTCCCTTTTCTCCACATCATCGTCAACACGTGTCATCTTTTGTCTTTTCGATGTGAGGTGTGAGGTGGTATCTCACTGTGGTTTTGACTTGCTTTTCCCTGATGGCTGGTGACACTGAACACCTTTCCATATGCCTGTTGGTCATTTGTATGTCTTTTTTTGAAATATGTCTCTTCAGATCCTTTGCGCCCACTTTTTTGTCAGATTATCTGGGGTTTTTTGCTATTAAATTGTATGAGTTCCTCGTGTATTCTGGATATTAACCCCTTATCAGATACATGGTTTTCAGATATTTTCTCTCATTTGTAGGTTGTCTTTTCCACTCTGTTGATTGGCTCCTTTGTTGTACAGAAGCATTTTAGCTTGATGCAATCCCATCTATTTTTCCTTTTGTTGCCTTTGCTTTTAGTGTCATATCCGAAAAATCACTGCCCAGACCAGTGTGAAGAAGCTTCTTCCCTATGTTTTCTGCTAGTAGTTTTATGGTTCCAGATCTTATGTTTAGGTCTTGTATCCATTTTGTATGTGGTGTGAGATAAGGGTAATTTTATTCTTCTACATGTGAATATCCAGTTTTCCCAACACCACTTACTGCAGAGACTAGCCTTTCCCCATTGCACGTTCTTGGCACTCTTGTTGAAGTCCAGCTGGCTGTAAACACATGGATTTATTGCTGAGCTTTCTATGCTGTTTCACTGGGATACATGTCTGTTTTTACGACACTACCATACATTTTGATTTCTGTAGTTTTGTAATATATTTTGAAATATAGAATTGTGAAGCTCCCAGCTTTGTTCTTGCTCAAGACTGCTTTGGCTATTTGAGGTCTTTCGTGGCTCCATATGAATTTTAGGATTTTTTTTCTATTTCTATAAAGAATGCCATTGAGATATTTATGCGGATAGCATTTGGGATTTTGATGGGGATAGACTGCTTTGGGTATTACGAACATTTTAACAATATTAATTCTTCCAATCCATGAACAAAGCATGCCTTTCCATTTATCTGCTCTTCTTCAATTTCCTTGATCAGTGCTTTGTAATTTTCAGTGTATAAGTCTCTTCGGTTAAGTTTATTCCTAAGTATTTTATTCTTTTTGTTGTTATTGTAAGTGGGATTGTTTTCTTAGTTCCCTTTTTGGATAGTTCATTGTTTGTGTATAGAAACACCACTGATTTTTGCATGTTGATTTCGTATCCTGCAACTTTACTGAATTTATTAGTTCTAAAAGTGTTTGGTTGGAGTCTTTAGAAGTTTCTACATGTATGATCATGTCATCTACATCATAACACTTCAGTCCAGTCCTAATACACAATGCTTGACACAAAGTAGCCACTAAGTTAAAATGAATGACCTTGAATAGGGGGTAATTCTGGTACTAGCTAGCACTATCTAAAAGGGGCCTCTTTCTATTTTCATAGTTCTGTGAACAGGCTGAAAGCACTTACCTGATTTATCAATGATGGCATCAATCTCTTCAATCACATCAAAATAGGCCTCATTGTTGGTGTATTTCACCCCAGTCCGTCGCCAAGGCACCACGGACAGCTGCCCAGTGGGAAGCTGGTCACCCACATTGGTGCTTCCTGAGACAATGAATATTTGATAATTAGATGTAACCAATTATCCAACAACCAGAGAACACTTCCCCAAAAGTTTCTATACATCCGCTATCCATGCACTTAATTGAAGAATTTTTCCAAGAAAAAGATTATAGCTTTCCCAACTTCTATCTTGGTAACCTAATCTATTTTAAAAACTTGTCACCAGCTGGTCTGCCTCCTCAAGCAGAATAAAGGTTAACAAGTTACCTGAGAAACAGATATCATATTTTGGTTTTGAAAGTAACCTGAACTTGGTCTCTCAAATTGCACAATACTTGCAGCTTAAATAATGCATTGGCTTTCGGTAGGGATGGTAATCTACATACTGATATAAAATTTTCATGGGTAAAAACAGTATTCTAGTTTGAAGCAGGTTTTTAGATACATTTATGCCAGGTATTAAAATGTATACATAAACATAATCTCTCTTATACCAATACTGGAACTCAGGAAAAGAATATAAATCAGATCGTTCCCTGTCTGTAAGAATTGTAAGTTGATTCCTTGATTTGTTTTTTCCCCACAGGTATCAAATTTTTTTTTTAATTCAAAGGTTCTATACTGAAATTCTGAAATAGAACTAATTTAAAATCTATTTTCTTCTAATGTAACCTGGATCTTTTTTAATATAAAGAAGGAAACATTAAACACACATATAGTCAGCAGCTTTACAAAACATTTCAACTAAGATAGCTGGTTCTCAGATATCTTTTCTAGATTTAAGTGAGATTCAGGAAAATGACTTCACAGTATTTATAAGTGATTCAGTCACTAACAAAGCTTTTAAAGTTTTAAATGAGCCCAGAATATTGAAAAACCTGACAATTTGTTTTCTTAAAAAGAGGCACTATGTATTAAAACATATCAACAAGCTATAATAATTAAAACAGTACGGTTATAAGGCAGGAAAGCCTAAAAACAGACCAAAAATCCAATAATGACTTAGTGCAAGATAAAAATATCATTTTAAAATGAGGGCTTCCCTGGTGGCACAGTGGTTAAGAATCCACCTGCCAATGCAGGGGACATGGGTTCCAGCCCTGGTCCAGGAAGATCCCACATGCCACGGAGCAACTAAGCCTGTGGACCACAACTACTGAGTCTGCTCTCTAGAGTCCTCAAGCCACAACTACTGAGCCCACGCGCCACAGCTACTGAAGCACGCACGCCTAGAGCCTGTGCTCCGGAACAAGAGAAGCCACCACAGTGAGAAGCCCATGCACCGCAATGAAGAGCAGCCCCTGCTCGCCACAGCTAGAGAAAGCCTGCGCGCAGCAACAAAGACCCAACACAGCCAAAAGTAAATAAATAAAATAAAAATAAATAAATAAAATGGATGCATGCATACTTAAAAAAAAAAATGAGGAAAAGGGGTATTCTATAAATAGTGCTAGGGAAACTGACAGTTTTGGAGAAAAAACCACAGAGCCTTACTTTACTGAGACAATTTCCAAATGGATTAAAGAATTAAGTCTAAAAATAAAACCATAAAAGAACTAGAAGAAAATGTATTTTTTTAAAAGAAAGACTTTCCCTTCTTTGAGATCAAAAAGACATTTTCCCATATTTCCTTCTAACAATTATAAAGTTTCTTTGTGTTTAACTCTTGATCCAGCTAAAATTTATTTTGTGTATACAGTGAGTAGGGGAACTTCATTTCTTTTCTGTATCAAAGCTGACTGCCCCGATACAATATATTTAACAACTGGCCCGCAGTCCATGGATTTGATATATGAGCACATTTATCTATACCAAATTCCTATAAAAGGATCTGTTTCTGGACTTTCTATTTTATCCCAATCGTCTATTTGTCTATTAATGGGCTAATACTATATTTTAAAAATTACCAAAACTTCATAATATATCTTGATTCTGATAGGACACATTTTTTCTCTTGCTCTTTTTAAAAAAATATTTTTTCCCCCAAACTGTCTTGGCTCTTAAAGTGTATCTATTCTATGAGCTTTGTCTAATGTACCAAGTGAACTTAAATATGTCTTGATATTTGACAGGGCAAATTCTTCCAACCCCTCTGTAATTACTTTTTTAAATGTATTTTTCATTCAGTTTGTCAAATTCCATGAAAACTCTTGTTTATATATTAAGCAAGACCCAAAATGTAAAACCTTAATGAAGCAGAATGATTATTTTGACTACATCAAAAAACTTTAAAGGTGGCTAAACAAACACCACCTTGAACAATGTTAAATGACCAGGGGCAGGATGTGAGAAAACATCTACAACAGAGCATTCAAAATACACACAGACTCCTGCAAACTAGCGTGTGTATTTAGAGTATATATGATAGTTTAATATCCTTAAATGAAAGGAATACTTTTCAATTAGTAGGAAAAAAGAAAAACATTTCAACAATAACAAAAAAAAAACAGGCAAAGGACATGAAAAAGTAAATCACAATAGAGGAAAAACAGTCAGTGAACACTTGAACAGGTTTTAACTTCCTCAGTAATAAAAAACAAGTTTGGAAGTAACAAGATATCACTAAACTATCCAATTGCCAAAGTTGTAAAATAATTAATAACGATAATAATAGAATTGGCCAGGTTGCATAATTGCTACTGAAAGTATAAACTGACGTAACTTCTCTGGGGGGCTATGTGGCACAATGCATTAAAGTCCTTAAGACATGCACACCTTCTTTTTTCTTTCTTTCTTTTTTTTTTTTTTTGCGGTACGCGGGCCTCTCACTGTTGTGGCGTCTCCCGTTGCGGAGCACAGGCTCCGGACGCGCAGGCTCAGCGGCCATGGCTCACGGGCCCAGCCGCTCCGCGGCATGTGGGATCTTCCCGGACCGGGGCACGAACCCGTGTCCCCTGCATCGGCAGGCGGACTCTCAACCACTGCGCCACCAGGGAAGCCCTGTTGTATATTTTTAAACTTAACTTTCCGTCATTGTTTTGTGAACATGTTCCCATTATGATAAATATTTATCTACATCATTTTTGGTAACTTTACAATTTTCTAAATAACAAAAACATATTTCATGTTATATTCAAAGACTATAAAGAATAAAATTAAAGCACCTGGACATTTGCGATGCCCAAAGACAAGCACTCAAAACAATGCACAACAGCAGGCTAAGCCACACCCAGGATGGCGGCAGCCTTCCCCGGGGCCCCCCTCGTACCTGTGATGGTGTTGACAACCGTTCGAAGGATAGTGGGCGGCTTTATCAGTTCTTTGAGGATGTTCGACTCGGTAGCCAATGGAAACCCGTTGTCAAGCATCTCTTCCAATACCTCATAAACCACAACCACATTGTCTTTTATCACGGGCTCTGAACAGACTCCAAAATAATCCTGATGAAAATACAATACGTGTATACATTTGTCACTCAGAGACTGTGATGAGTGAAGGAATGTTCCCAGAGAGCAAGGATCGAGTCCTGTCCACACGTGTTTACTCTGTGTTTCTGGGATCTTCTAAAATAAGTGAATGAAGCATAACCATGGTTCTCTTAGGCAGGCCCAGGTTGGTGGAAAGAACACCGGACTGCATTGTACTACAAGTGTCATTAATAACTTCTTTCATAAACTAGAGTAAGTCATTTAATCTCTTTGGGTTAGTTTCTTCAACTAATAAAATATGAAGAATACAAAACTGAATCTAGACTATTATATGTGTTTATGAACATGAATTTGAAAGAACTATGCAAAGTGATAATACCTAATATGACATACATTGGACCTGAAAATCTTTTTAACCCTTACTGTTGTGCTATTCCTTAACATTCATGCAGCAAATAAGAATTGAGAGAGAAACAAAATGAAATGAGGGGGTGAGCTAGCACACCTGAAAATCTCTTTGGATCCCCTTACTCTAAGATGCTAGGATTCTAGTAACACTTTGTCCTTTTATTAACAAAGGTTAAACTTAGATACTAAATTGTCTGGGTTGTGGAAAAAGCACTGGATTCCAAATCAGAAGGCCTGGGTAATAATCTTAATTGTCACCTACTAGATTAAGTCCTGCTGACTAATTTGGGTCTTGATTTCTCTCATAGTATAGTCAGGATAATACCATGGGCTGCACAGGGTTGTAAAAACTCAGCCTGATGGATGAACTGAGAACATGTATGAACATGCTTTGTAAACTACAAAGCACCATGTAATCCGTGGTGCGCGGCAATGAAATGATGCAGAGAGACATGCTGTAGCCTCTTGGCGGGCCCCTCCTGGCAACGCCAGCACATCTGCTGCTGGGCCTCTCAGACAGCCCTCTAGGGATTCATCCACTGAGGGAAATTCAGCCCTTTTGAGAAAGCCCATTTTATTCACGGGCGGCACTGACTGTTAGAAAGTTCCTTCTTTTGCTAAACTGAAATTTGCTTCCTAGGTCTGCCTTACAGAACAGCCCCACGGTGACCTAGTGATCCGAAGACCAGGACAAGCTTTGACTTGCATTTTTCTTCACAGGGCCAAACTCCCCGTTTGGTCCTCCCACTGTTCGTGCTACAGTAAGGTTTCTAGATTCTTTCACTGTCTTGCCATTTCTTTTGAATTTGCTCTAGTTTTCCAACAGTCTCCTCAAATTATGACATCCAAAACGGAACACAGACTCCAGATATGACCTAAATTACATCAGATGACGTCAACTATCAGAGACATTCCAATATCCAAGACCACTTAGGAGTCAGGAATGTGTTTCTAAAACAAAAAGATTTCTTCTTTAAAAAAATGAGGATTGAAGGGGGGGAAAAGTTATACATTTCCTTCTCAAGAATGATTTTATTTTGAAAAATAAATAAAACACCTCACTCAAGAAAAGGGAACCCTCCTACATTGTCAGTGGGAATGTAAACTGCTGCAGCCACTATGGAACAGTATGGAGGGGCCTTAAAAAACTAAAAATAGAGCTACCATATGGTCCAGCAATCCCCTCCTGGGCATATGTCCAGACAAAACTATAATTCAAAAAGGTAAATGCACTCCTATGTTCATAGCAGCACTATTCACAACAGCCAAGACATGCAACAACCTAAGTGTCCATTGACGTATAAATGGATAAAGAAGATGTGGTATATATACATACAATGGAATACTACTCGGCCATAAAAAAGAATGAAATAATGCCATTTGGAGCAACACGGATGGACCTAGAGATCATTGTACTAAGTGATGTAAGTCAGACTGAGAAAGACAAATACCATATGATATCACTTACATGTGGAATCTAAAATATGACACAAAGGAACTTACCTATGAAACAGAAACAGACTCACAGACATAGAGAACGGACTTGTGCTTGCCAAGGGGGAGGGAAAGTGGGGGAGGGATGGACTGGGAGTTTGGGGTTAGCAAATGCAAACTCTTATATAGAGAATAGATGGACCACAAGGTCCTACTGTATAACACAGGGAACTATATTCACTATCCTGTGATAAAACATAATGGACAAGAATAAGAAAAAATGTGTATATATATATATATATGTATGACCAAATCACTTTGCAGTACAGCAGAAATTACAACATTGTAAAACAACTATACTTCAATAAAATAAACTTTAAAAAACACCTCCCTCGATTTTCTAGTCAGGCAGAATGTGATTTTCTCAATCATCAGCTGGAAGCAGACTGGTGAGCACGGCACAGCGCCACAGCAAAGTGCGTCACTTGCATAGCGGGAGCTCCTTCCGCTATGAGAGGAAGAGCGCAGCCAGAGAACACACATCAGATAAGACATTAAAATCAGGATGCGGCCATTTACTTTTAACAAATGCTTCCAAAATGGCAAGCTCTGAAGTCCCAGCCTTCCAAAATAGCCACTTTGAGGTTTTCCCCAATTCCTCTGTGGTTTCAACTAGATTAAACAACATTTCTCACTTCCTGCCTTGTAATAAGTTACATCGTATCACTACGGAGATAGGGAGCAGACTGTTAACGGCGTAAAGCATCCCTGTGGAAATCCTAACAAGGCCCAGCTCCAGCGGCTGAAGATCAATACTGCTGGGCTATTCTAGTTCTTCCACATACTGGGGTTTATCATTCTCAGGATTTCACTGTGTGATGGAACAAGTATGCCACTGGGATCCCAGAACAGAACTACCAGAAAAGAATTTGGGGAAAAAATATAAATATACGTATATTCTTTGGGGAATGAAACTGTTCTAAACATGTGATCTATATCTGAGGGTAAATGAAAGGACTCTTTGACTTGCTTTTTAATTTTTATCGTAATGTCTGGGTCCTTGTTCTCTTCTTCTCCAATCCCACAATTTCTATATTCATATGACCAGTTCCAGGCCTCACATGACACAGAAGTTAACGCAAAGGGCCCTTGATTCTCATGGATCGTTGAGTTATGCAAACAACCACAACCGTTAGAAGTTGAGCAATCCTTTTAGGGAGAAAATGTCTGAATCCAGAGTCTGGGCAGCCTAGAATCCCGTGCCATAAAGGGTGTTGACATCCTGGTATGACATACCTTCCCACGCCCCAAGATCTCCAAATCTATTCCTGAAGGAAAAACTCGAAAACTGTCTCTTGGAAAATGTGTCACTTAAGTTTTTACAGGTACAGAAGATTTTCCAATGTTAAGTTTGCAAAAAAACAGCCCGTCACTGGTACTCATATGCTGTGGACGAGCACCCCAAATTCAAGCTGAAGGATGGGTTCCCAAGTTACCCTTGCCAGGGTGAGTGAATCACTTTTTGATGCAACTCAAGGCAATGTCATTAACGATGGTTAACATCAAGTCTACCATAAATTAAAAATCGAAACTCATCAGCTTTGTGAACAAAATGTAGGATAATTCCATTCTCTAGAAATGAAATTACTGTATACCATCATACCAAGTAGGGTGGCTTTCCCAGGCAACGGGTTCAAAAGTATACAACCTGTCATTCTAGGTGCAGCCCGTTCAATAAATAGAAACAAGCATCTTACCAGATGGGAGAGGAAGTGAGCAATGTCAGAGTTTTAATTTCTTTTTTAAGTTCCTTCACTGAGGCTGAAAACAATGGAAACAGAACTATAAAGACACTTTGTAAGGTACATGGATGAACTTCCTCACATTCACGCACCTGAAACGTGTCCACTACTCGGTGAAGGAACTCAATGACAAACAGAGGTGGCACCTCCGTCTGGATCACAGCCACAAAAAAGATCTTGTGACGGTAAACACTTAGGAGATAGTGGTGAGGGGTGGAGATAACTGGAGGAACATTTTCAGCCTCAGTTGCTCGCTCTTGTGCCTCGAAAAAGTAATCGCAAACAGAACGGCTGACCACACTCTTCCAGTGTTTCTCCAGGAAAATATCTCCAGAGGAGTTGATCAAGAAAAGGCTGTGAATCATGGTGGAGGCTGTCAGTGAGAGAGGAAAGTCTTTTTCTGTCCGACAGCCTCTGCAAACGCTCAACTCTAAAAACAAGAGAAGTTCTGATCAGTTGCAGTCAACCAAAACCCCCTCCCCATCCGTGCAGCAGCCCAAGCCTTCTTACCCACCTTCCAAGACGAGACCCAAGTCTTCCGCTATTGCAGGAGCCCGAAGTATCACTCCCTAGAATTCCTAAGGGTAATTATCAGCCATCTCATTTGTCAGCTAATCATATACTGTCATCTTTACTACTGCCTGAATCATATCCACTTAAAATTCCACTTAATTTTTGAGTGTCTATTTTCTCAACTGGACTGGCAGGCAGCTCCTTGAGAAAAAAAGCCCCTGCCTCATGTTTTTTGTTGCCTCCTTGTAACAAGAGGGCTTCAAAGAACACTGATGAGTTTCATGTATTTGGCAACAACACACACCTATAAGAAATGGTTATGTTTGTGTAGTCTCATACAGTAGACATCGGACAAATGGGGCCACTGAGTACTTCAGATGTGGCTGGTCCAAACTGAGATGTGCTGTGAATGTAAGACACGCACCAGATTTTGAAGGCTTTGTATGGAAAAAAAAAAAAAAGAATTTAAGATAGCTTACCAATAATTTAATATCAATTAATTAAGTCAATTAATAATATTAACTTAATACGGATTATACTTAATATTGATATTTTGGATATATTGGGTAAATAAAAGATATAAAAATTAATTCAACTGGTTTATTTTTTAAATGTGCTTACTAAAACATGTAAAATTACACAGTATGTGGATCGCTGCCTATTTCTACTGGATAGCGATGGTCCACGGAATAGAGCTGTCGTGATCTTGATTTATCCAGTCAGACCCCATTTTCTAAGTACATGTTATGCACAAGGCTCTACATTGGATGCCTTTAAAAAAAATCCCTCTGGGGGGATCCCCCAGGTCCCTCAGGCGGCGGCATCTCTACGGTGCCAGTCCCCAGAAACGAGGCGGCCGCGCGGGACCCCAGCTGTGGCCACTCCGCTAACTGGTCCAGGTGGCCAAATCGCGAAGGCCTGTTGTACCAAGTGCCTCAGGGTGAGCTTAATCCCTCTGCCGGCGACGAGGCTGCGGGAGGGAGAGGGGCCGGGGAGCCACGCTGTGGCGGCGCAGAGTCAGCTGCCAACGAGGGTTATTTCTGCGCTGGTCGCAGGGAGGATGGAGGCAGCTTGGGGCGAGGTAGACGCGGGCGGATTAAGGTGTGCGCACGATCCGAGGCTGAAAAGGGTCGCACGTCTGCGCACCTGCGTCGCCATGACAACAGTGTCCCCTCCTCCCCCAGCCCTCCGGCCGGAGCAGGCCACCTCCCTAGACCGGGACTCAGCCCCTCACCTCTCCCTGCCGCATCACGCAGCTCGGAGGGTCGGTCAGGCGGCACCCCGTGGCCCCGCCCCTGCCCCGCGCGCCCCCGCTCAGACCCCCGCGCGCCCCCGCCCAGACCCCCGCGCGCCCAGCCCCACCCGGGACCCGGGTCATCAGCCCTCCTTACCCCACTTGCTCTTCGCAGCGCCCACCGTTCGGCCGCGCGGGCAGGCCCCGCCCCCAGGCGCCCCCCTGCGCTCGCCGGCCGCCGCTCGCCCGCTGATTGGCCGGCCAGCGGGACTCTGGCCAGCACCGCCCGCGACGGAGGTCTGACGGCCGCTCATTGGGCATCGGCGATCCATTGCTCCCCTCTGATTGATCGCGATCCGCCTCTCACCCTGTTCTGGAGCCCCCAATTGGCCCTTGTTCAGGCTCCGGTAATCTCTGATTGGTGCAGCTCTGGGGTTCTGAGCCCTGATTGGCTGTCATGAACAGTTGGCGGAGCGCCCGTCCCCTAGCCACCCAGTCACAAAGGGCCCGGGCGTCTTCCCTGCCACCTGCGTAACCGCGGAGTGCGCCTCGAAAGGAATGCAAAAAGTGTGACTTACAGGGCACGATTTATCGAAGAGCATATCATGGATAATAAATCCTGAGCAGTAATAACTACTCTCCATTAAATAAGTGCATTTAAAAAGGGACGTGATGCCTTTTCATTTACGTGCATTGAGTAAAGGTGATTGGCTGTAACGGCGTCCTGTCAAGAGCTCTGAACCTGGATTCAGGCGGCCTCTTTCAGCCCCAGCTGGACCACCACCTGCTCGACCTTGGGCAAGGCACTTAACCTTTCAGAGTCTCAGTTCCCAGATCTGAAAATGAGGGGGTTGGGCAGGTCTCTCTCCAAATTGCAGTGGAGCTCTGATGACTATTTTGAGTCAAGCCACTGTGACCCAGAAAAGCATGCAGTAGAAGTCAAAAGACAAGGTTAAACCTAGTTGTTAAGTGGGATGGGGTGTGGAAGGGGTTTGCCGCGGTGCCTGGACATTGAATATATTCAATAAAATGGTAAGCTGTGGTGATGATGGTAACAATGCCCCCGACAAGGAGCGCGTCTCCCTGCCTGTGCTGTGGTTTTCACTTGGAGCAGCTCCTCCTGACACAGGACCATGATAGGCGTTTACTGAAAGTGGCATGGATTGTTCCTTGCCATACTTGCTAAGGGCAGATAGTTGGCTAATTTTGAACGAAGTCCGAGAGACAACCCCAAATCAGAATGGCTGAGTCATGAGGCATCCTCCTGTAGGGTTAGGGGCTCTGGTGCCAGACCCCCGGGTTTGAATCCTGCTCCAACACTTTACCAGCTGTGTCATTGAGAAAGTATCTTAACTTCCCTAAATGTCAAGTTCCTTACTTTCAAATAAGGACACTAATAGTACCTACTTCAGTACCTACTTCGGAAAGTTGTTGTGAGGACTGAGTTAGAAAAGTGTCAGCGATTGTTACTGCCTAAGAAACAGCACAAGATACAATTACACACGGTTACTAAGCAATGTGTGTCTAAGGTGCAGACATGCTATCACTGCTGCGGGCATTTCTCACTCATTCACTGAATTAACCTTTGCTGAGAGCTTCCTGTGTATGAAGCCCTGTGCTGGGCATACTGCAATGACCAACATCACAGGCCGAGTCTCTTGTCAGAGAGCCTGGCTGAGAAGACAAATGAGAAGCAATTACAAAACGGTGTGATGAGCAAGGAGCACATGGGGGGGGCGGGGCGTTGCTGGTGGAAGGGGCAGACTTAGAGTCAGGGATGTCCATCTAAACTGAAACCTGAAAGAGGAATACAGATTCCACTGGGGGAAGGACAGAGAAGAGTACATGTGGAAAGCTCTAGAGACGAGAGAGGAAACTATAGCTGAGCTAGAACAGGAGAAAGAATGAAGACTTTCTTCTTTTTTTTTTCCTAAAATGAGATTGGGGGGGTAAGTAGGAGCCAGGTGGTCGTGAGCTTTGTAATAATTGTTGTTTTTTAAAATTTATTTTATTGAAGTATAGTTGATTTACAATGCTGTCTTAATTTCCACTGTACTGCAAAGTGATTCAGTTATACACATGTAGACATTCTTTTTCATATTCTTTTCCATTACGGTTTATCACAGAATATTGAATATAGTTCCCTGTGCTGTACAGTAGGAACTTATTGTTTACCCATTCTGTATACAATAGTTTGCATGTAATAATTGTTAATTGTTATAAAACACTGCACCTCTAGTAGCCATCCAAGTGGAGATGTTGGGAAGGCAGCCAGATATATGAGCCTAGGATCTGGGAGAGAGGTCTGAACTAGAGAGACATAAATTTGGAGTTATCAGTATATATGGATATTTAATCAGGGGACTAGTTGAGATGACTAAGAGAGTGAGCACAGAGAGGAGAGGCCCAGAGTCGGGGGACTCCAAAGTTAAGGGTTCATAGAAGAGGGGAAGACCCAGGTTCATTTCATCCCCCCAACTACCCTAAAATGAATCATTGCTATGACCCCCTTTTTACAGATGAGAAAACTGCAGGGAGTGCTTAAGTAACTTACTGAAGGTCAAGCAAGCAGGTGAGTGGCAGAGATGGAATTCAAGCACACAGGGAGGTCTAAGCAGTGCTCCTCGAAATGCCACCTCCTGCCTCTCTCAGAAGCCCGAAAGCCCACTAAAAGATGTTAAGCGGGAGAGTGAAATGCCTCCAGACTGACATTTCAGAAAGACCATGTGTATGGGATGGATTAGGGAAGGCCGAGCTTGGGGGCAGGGAGAGCATTTAGAATACTGCAGTAATCCACATGAGAGATGCTTGTGACTGCAGCCAGGATGGGGGACTGGAAAGAAGTGGACACATTCCAATGATAGGTAGAAGGATAGAGATCAGGGACTAATTGAAAGTGAGTGGTGAGAGAGACTAGGAATCAAAGTTGATTCATACGTTTCTGATTTGGGCAACCATGTGGATGGAAGTGTCATATGTTGAGATGGGGATCCCAGGAAAAGAGGCATGTTGAGGGCAAGGAGAGGTGGCATGAATTCATCATAGCAATGCCCAGGGTCACTAACAAGTCGACACGCAAATATTTGTTGAGTTGAACCAAACAACATAGAACTTGGGAGCTCGAATAGTACATTCCCATGGTTTTAAGAGACACCACAGGAAATCATGGACAAACGGTGAGTCTATTTCAGGCATGAAAATCTCCAGGGGGAAATTCCCTGGTGGTTCAGTGGTTGGGACTCTGTGCTTTCAGTGCCGAGGGTTTCGGTTTGGTCCCTAGTCGGGGAGTTAGGATCCTGTAAGCCACCGTGTGGTATGACCAAAAAAAAAAAGGAAGGAAGGAAAGGAGGGAGGGAGGGAGGAAGGAACAAAGGAAGGAAAGAAAAAGAAAGAAAGAAAGGAGGAAAGAAAGAAAGGAAGAAAGGCAAAGAAAGAAACAAAGAAAGAAAGAAAATCTCCAGGAAAAGATTTTCTAAAGCTGCCACTGATAAACATCCTAATATTTAACAGCTCTCGTTGCTGCGAAGTTTTCTACCATAAAAAGCCAATCCCAACCCTCCTACACTGTTGGTGGGAATGTAATTTGCACAACCATTATGGTGAATAGTACAGAGGTTCCTTAAAAAACTAAATATAGTGCTTCCCTGGTGGCGCAGTGGTTGAGAATCTGCCTGCCAATGCGGGGGACACAGGTTCGAGCCCTGGTCCAGGAATATCCCACATGCCGTGGAGCAACTAAGCCTGTGCACCACAACTACTAAGCCTGCGCTCTACAGCCCGCGAGCCACAGCTACTGAAGCCTGCGCGCCTAGAGCCCGTGCTCCGCAGCAAGAGAAGCCACCACAATGAGAAGGCCACGCACCACAATGAAGAGTAGCCCCTGCACACGGCAACTAGAGAAAGCCCGTGCACAGCAACAAAGACCCAACACAGACAAAAATAAATAAATAAAATAAATTTAAAAAACAAAGAAACTAAATATAGAACTACCATATAATCCAGCAATTCCACTCCTGGGCATATACCCAGAGAAAACCATAATTCAAAAAGCCACGTGCACCCCAGTGTTCATTGCAGCACTATTTACAATAGCCAGGACATGGAAACAACCTAAATGTCCATCGACAGAGGAATGGATAAAGAAGATGTGCTGCATATACAATGGAATATTACTCAGCCATAAAAAAGAATGAAATAATGCCATCTGCAGCAACATGAATGGACCTGGAGATTATCATATTAAGTGAAGTCAGAGAAAGACAAATACTGTATGATATCACTTATATGTGGAATCTAACAAAAAATGATACCAATGAACTTATTTACAAAACAGAAACACACTTGCAGATCTCAAAATCAAACTTATGGTTACCAAAAGGGAAATGTGAAGGGGAGTGATAAATTAGGAGATTGGGATTAACACATACACATTACTATATATAAAATAGGTAACTAACAGGGACCTATTGATTAGCACAAGGAACTCTACTCAATATTATGTAATAACCTATATGGGAAAAGAACCTGAAAAATAATATATATATATATATATATATATATTCGATTTGGTATATATGTATATGTGTATATATATATATATATATATATA